GGCTTCCCGTGGTGCGCTTACCGGATGCTGCGGAAGACTTCGCCACCCGATCCGATCCGGAGAAAGGTGTTGGGCGTAGTGGCCATATGAAAGTAGGCGCTCTTTTCATTGGCGAAGAAGGTGTCGGGAACCCAGATCTTCTCAGCCACCTCGGCGCCCACTGTCATGCTCTCCAGGCCTGGGCTCTTCTGGAACGAGAGTCGCTCGTCCCGCCACGACTGTCGGAAGTAGAAGTCCGAAGTGAAGTCCTGCCAGGAAGAGACACAAAACAGAAAAAAAAAAACACGTCTCCATCAGAGGCAGCCCAGATCGCCGAGCTAGCGATCTGCTAGTCAAACCCTTCTAAAACAACGCTGCCCGAAAACGAATTCGCACGCACAAAGAAACACCTGCCTTGAAGAAACATTAGGTGCGCAAGCGAGCTGGTGTAAATTACCAACCCCCACACCCTGGGACAATGCGCAATTTGTGCCGGAGTGCCCAACGTACCGTTTCGGATGCGAGTAAAAGAACGGTTCCCTTCAACTCTCTATTGAGAGCCGTAACGATGCAGCTTTGCCGGCGTTGATTGAATGGCTTCCTCAAATCATAGTGTTGGCCGGGGTCTGATTTTGGTGAAACTGAGTATTCGCGACTCCAGCGACCTATAGGGGGCGCCCCCACCAGACAAACATGGCGGCTGAGTCCAGGTCGCGGCGGGTCGGCCGGGCCGCCTGAACAGGTGGCGCGTTCAATTTAACAGATTTTCTTTTGTTTAATGCCCAATTTTATAGGTATTTGAACTGAGACGGTTAAGTGTAGCCGGTGCAGATAAACTTGCAAAGCATAGTTTTGTTTTGCCGGTGTTTTTTTGTTCTTTTCGTGTCAAACATTCGTTTCGGAGATTTCGTTCAAAACCGAAACTATGGGCTCCGGAGGGACGGTAATATACTAATCAGTTTTGATCATCTAAGGAAAGCGGCGATGACTACAGAATTGTTCCACAGAGATTAACTTTTCAGCTAACTCGCATGCCTCGACCGACTTATCTGTCCGCGAAATCGAGCTTTTGTGCGTATCCGCATTTACGAAACAGCTCCAGTCGTCTGCTCGGCCAACAACACAGGCTGCAGGAAAATTACGAAAATTAAGCAACCGCCTCTTGAGCCAAGGACCGTGTTAACCCGACGGCGCCCACTAAGCAGCTGATACTCGTATTTCAATTCAGGTTTTAGTAGCAATCGAGAAGTCATTTTGACGAGCGGGTTATGTATTATATTACGTACTATGGGGGGGTGGGGGGGGGGGGGGGTCCCACTAAAGCGATATTAGTATACCCTTCGGGTTGAAATATGAGCTTAGTTGACTAGCTATTAGGTGAGCTGCTGAATAAAAGTATATTCGACAGACGGAGAATACTACTTAAACTTAGCCAAATGGTTCTATAGCCGGCAGCACGGGGACAAACTGAAGAGAGTCTTCACTGAAGATCCGCCCAGAACCTCTCTGCATTGAAAGGAGAAAATTAGTATTTTTTTTTTGTGGCCGGTCAACCTGACCAATGTAGACGTATATTGCTGCTGGCTTCGACGTCCTCGTAATATAAATATTGGAGGCGCGATAGGTCAAAATGCCGTGACAGCAACTAACGTTGCGAGACATGTCTCCCACCTTTTGAAAACAGATAATTTCCCTCATTCATCATTTGCAGTGAGCAAGTTTTCCTGAATCAAGTAATTTCGAAATCAGACCAACTCCTTCAGTGTGGTCCAGAGGCTTTTTCGGCGAAAAGCAGCCAAGATGAATAGCCAACGCACCGACCGGCGTGGGTGGCTCAAACTTGAAGCTAACCGAACACAACCAAACTCAAGAAAAGCAGCTATCGAACCTTCCCATTCACTTGACTGCAACATTGACGTTCCCTCCAGTATCAGTTACCAAGTGTCGCTTTGAATGTGATTCGAGACAGACAAGAAATCACAAAGTTTTCCGTGATTCTTCCCCATCCAAGAAATCGAAAGCACGCGACCGTGTGCTGTGGAGTAAACGGGCTTTCAAACACGTAATAGAAGAAAAAATCTACTGAGGCTTCACCACACTAATGATCACTCACAAACTTAAGAAATATTCGGACCTTCGTCAAATTACATCGTTCGCCACCGCGCCGACAACACGTCTCCGCGAAAGCCACCAGAGACGCGTAGGGGCGCGGAGCGACCTGGACCGGCTGGTTCCCGGTTTTCCCGCTTGGCGGCGTCCGTTTTGCTGGAGTCGCGAATAGGGTAAAAAAAAGAAATGGAGACAAGACAAACAGGGAGTCTAAAGATACTTAATAATTTATGCTTGTTTTTTCCGTCTATTTATTTTTCTAGTTTCTTTATTTAATATTTATCTACAGTCCCTGCTAAAAAAATAAACATTATTTGATTACTTGAACATAGCCGCCTGCCCTTGGACCTAACAAGCCTGACTACGAAAGAGCAGAGGAGTTGAAGCCTGCTCTTGTCGCCCAAGAAGCAGATTTGTGTTTCGAGGGAGAGCCACGTTGGGTGCTTGTTTCTGCATTAATTTAGCTGAATTTATTAAACTTTTTGGCGATCAATTGGTTTAGCTAGTTGTTAGAGACTATTAAATAAAACATGGAGTGCAAAACATAAGTAAAAATAAAGGGTGTCACAAAAGAAAATTTAGAGGGTTTTTATTTCCGCAAAAATAAACTGGGCATCGCCGAACACTCATTCTCCGCCCAAAGGTAGCGCTAGAGGACACAACGAGATGCCAAAGTTTCAACCCGATCCGATAACTTAATCAAAAGTTATAAGTGACTTTCTGAACATTTCAATGGGAAAATGGCGGCAGACGGAGTTTTAGAATACATGGGGCTTTATGGCGCAGAGACCGAAAACGGGCAAAAATGAGATCCACTTTTGCACTGAAATTTTTAAAAAATCACTTATAACTTTTAAATATGGTATCAGATCGGGCTGAAACTTTGGCATCTGGTTGTGACCTCTCGAGCTACCTTCGGGCGGAGAATGAGCGTTCGGCGATGCCTAGTTTGTTTTTGTGGTAAAAAAAACCCTGTAAATTTCTTCTCGTGAAACCCTGTACACTCTAAATCATTATTCAAGGCAAACCTAATTATGATGCGTTTGTTTCCATGTTTCTTGCCTTAGTAGTTCGCGCCTTGTGTTTTTCAGTAATAAAGTTATAAACCGATTTGTATGCCCCTCGTCAAATGTTTTATTGCTTCACTCGACGGGAGCTTCCACATGTTGCCTTCTTGTTTTTACAAAAAGAGCTAAACTACATTGTAAACATGGGGCCAGGAAGTATGTTCCTGCGAGTCAAACGCAGCTTCAAAAAAGTTTCTCAAAGCCTAAAGAAGAAGACAGGTCCTTTCTCGTTTATTGCTTTATCAGGAAATCCTGGCACCCAACGTGTTTCCTACCCTCCCCCTCCCCCCCCCCCCCCCAAGACAAAAAAAAACAAAAAACAGAAGAAAAATCTGACCCATTTTTAGGTAGCCAACAGTTTCCCCACATCCCAAACAGAGACTCTCAAGAAGCCATAAATGTATCGCAAATAAACTAAAAAAACCTAACAGCAACAACAATAACAACACACCCGCTAAGGATCGTCATTCTCGCTCGGTCCTCGGAAAGCCGTCAAAACCGAAAGCCCGCAATTATCTCAGGTAAACAGCCGAAAATGTCCGTAACGCCACTCGAACGCACACAAACACCGAAGACACACACACATACACACACTTACTCCTACCCCTTTCTAACGTATAGACGACCAAAACAAAACACCTTAACGGATGTTCTCTTTGCGAACCCCAAGGCACCCCAGCACCTTGATTGTCCAGAGCAAGCCTCAAACGCCTTACTGCCCGTCAAAACAAAAAAAGAAAACAAAACAAAACAAAAAAAACCGCTCATATAAAGAAACGAAAAACGCGGTTAAACAAGCGAAGTGAAGAAAGAAATACGTTTCAACATAACGTGCTGGAGGCAGTAAAAGAAGGTCGAGGATTCTTAGACAGCGCGAAACTGCCGGGTCAAGATTGGAGCTGGACGCAACAGTATACTAGAGCCCGCGCGGCAAACGTCAGGAGATAAAGATACAGGGGCCTGAAGTACGAGGGCTGCGAGAGAAGGTAATACGAGAGAGGTGTTTTTCGTTGCTTCGCAGCTCGGCGCCAGTACACTGAGCTTCAATTTAGGGTAACGACGGCTCGTTGCAGTCTCTCTGTTTTTTGTTTGTTTGTTTTTGTTTTTGTTTTTACGAGCGATCTTGGGTAGAGAGGAAGGCGGTGGTGAGTGATATAAGGTTTTCACTGGAAATTAGACATTAGGAATGCCGAAAATGTTTTTTTTGTTGTTTGTGTGTGTGTGGAATAGATTTAGGTTTTGGTGTTGACGCTTCTTGAAATTTTGATGCCGGGTTCGTTACGAGGCGGTTCGCAGTGTACATTCTGTGATTCCCAGAACCACCTTCTAATGAAGGGCTCGTTTGAACTTCCGAGTGAGGCGAAAACGTATACATTCGCAAATATCGCTGACATGTATTACGGCTAATGTTGAAAACGTAAATATTATAATAGTCACAAAACCTAACCGAATGTAAAATAATTCTGGGGATAAAAATAAATCTACATGTACGCAACAAAGACATAGACCGCGTTAATGTAGCAGCGTAGCAATCTAGAAAAATATAAAACTTTGCATTACATTTTTTGTTTTTTGTAGAGCTTGATAGATTTGGTTTTAGGAATGAAACATTTTAGAGCTGGCACCTAGTTTGCAAACAACCGACGAGCTTTGTAGTCTATTCGCTACGCTGATCTGGAGATGGCGCTACAAGTCACAACCATCGCTAACTCGGTCAATCGCCTGCATGTCCACCATTCACTCTAGCATGTTTGTTGGTCTTAGTGTTTACAGGAAGAGAGCTAACCAAACTTCATAAGCAAACACAAAAAGAAAAAAACACCACCACGTAAATGCGCATTCATTGAAAGTCTCACCTTTTTATTTGAAGGCGACACATCTTTCGGCTCGCTTTTTTGTGCTTAGATCTATTGAGGTCGCCTTAATTAAGCTACTTCTCGAATGATTTGAAAAGTAACGACCACCTGTGTATAACCAAACACTGAAGTTTTACGCAGCGCTGCTGAAGTGAAACCATTTATGATAATTCATGTTTCATATTAATATGAAAAATGGTCACTTCTTCCACCGATATAACAAGTGTAAGGATGTGT